AGTTCCGCTGTCTTCTGCAGCTTCCTCCACCCAGTTCAGCTGCCACAGGCTGGGAGGAAGACTGCAGAGACAGTGAGACACCCGGCCAGAACGTTATGCAGCAGGGGGAAAAGAGGATACATGGAGGATCTCTGTACCGCAGTACCTCTGTACTGTGCGTCACACCGCTGACCTGGCGGAGTTCAGGCCGGGGCAGGGTAGGGGTTAGGTGGGGCAACTGGTGGCGAGTAACTTTTAAGGCCTGGCTAGTAGCTCAGGACATGAAAGTTTGAGCCCTGCTTTAAGGTACAGGTTCACTTTAAAAAGGAACCCGTCAAGACAGATAATATGGACAAAAACAACAATAGTGACTTATCACAGCTCTGTGATAAATCCTCTCAACCACATACATATAATAGGAAATACAAATTACACACTATATCATAGAATGTGACGGTGGTCTTACAATTATGCAGGAAACTCCATAATATCCGGCATTCAAGCAACCAGCATACAAAAAAAGAGAAAGAAGGAGACTTGTCCTCTTTTTTGCCTGTGGCATGATGCACATTAAAGAAATTTGTTGGCAACTAAACATTTTTTTTAGTTGTTAATGAAATGATTTACATCAGAGTGTAAAATATGGGGAGCAAAAGCCAGCCTGCTACTGGCGGTTTCAAATTGATCTGTCAGGTCTGCCCCTCTGCTCAGTGGGTGGGGTTTCAATAGCCAGCCTGCTATTGGCTACTTTAATCTTGAAATAACAGGCTGGCTATTGCACCCACCCACTGAGCATAGGAGCCGACCTAAGAGAGAAGCTAGTAACTCTCAAGCAACCAGAAACTACAGTGATCCGGGACAAACCAGTCCCTGTGGGTGCCAAATAAATGGGAGTTTACTGTACTTGACCTACAGAGTTACAGTATTATGTAATTAGTTACTGGCATCCCAAAATATATATATTTTTTTATATATATATTTACTTTTTAAAAACTTTAAAGGTCAAGAAATAAAGATATTTAGTAACTCTGGATGGAAAGTTCTGTCATAAAAGCCGATCAGATGTCATTTTTTTCTACAGTAGGTTTGGTGATGAAAGCATTCCCCTGACTGGTTACTATGGCAACTATTAGTAATCAGTATGGCTACTTGTGACATTTGGGGACAATTGGTTTTGCAGCTCATGGTGCATTAAAGTGATCACACAACAATATCATTTGATGCAACGGAAGACACCAAAAACAGGAAAGAAGTACAGTGAAATGTGTGAAACTTTCACTTATCTGGGTCACCGACATCCGCTTAACATTGCAGATGCAATGTACACTGATCAAGCATTGAGGCCCCGTTCCCACTGCGCGATATGCAAATCGCGCGTTTGTCGCGCATATTGCGCGACATCGCGCGATTTGCCGCGCGATATCGCGTTCAAGCTTGCATTGAGCAAGCTTGAATCGCGGCTAAATCCGCTCAAAAAAGGGTCCTGCTGTAGCGACACACGACCCGCTACAGCAGGACCCTTTGCCCCATTGGATTGCATTGGAGCGCGATATCGCGCGGTAATTTGCCGCGATATCGCGGGAATTACCGCGCGATAAATCGCTCAATGTGAACGGGGTCTTATTTGTCAACCAATGGAAGGGCAGCAGAGACGTAGGTCCTATCATATTCTCAGAGCAAGACCTTAAAGTAGAACTCCGGGAAGGTTTTTTTATTATTACTAACCCTTGCAGTGAGGCTACCCACTCACTCGATCCTCCAAACCGGCTTGCTCTTAGACCGGTCCCTGGAGCCCCTCTCCCCCCTCTGCTGCAGTGGTCTAAGGTCCCATAAATCATCACAATCTATAGACAGTATATAGACGTGAGAACAATGAGGAACATTCCAATGTTGACTAGAGAACCAGGCAGCTGACTTGGTGATTCAGATGAGTAAAACTTTTTTTTTTTTACAACTAGACAAAAATGGCAGCCCCACTACGCGGGTTAAGAACACCTTTGCCTGGAGCTCTTCTTTAAAGCAAAGTAAATATAAATTCTCTGCAAAAAAAGGGAATACAGTAACTTATAGCACTGAACAATCGCACCATTAATGAGGAATCACCCACTGAACTCCAGGGGGATGCAGACACTTCCAGCAGTCTTCATTTCCTGGTCTCCACAGTACTCAGCGCTTCTTTCCACTGACCTCCGTGTCACTATAGGACACAGTAATGATTTGGAGGTCAGCAGGAGAACCACTAATCACTACAGCGGAGCAGCACTTTCCCAGTGGACTTCAGGGGACGATTCGTCATCAGCAGAGTGGCATTCAGCGGCTCAGGCAGAGATGAAGACAAGTATATATTATCTCCTTTTGCAGGGACACCTTTTTGGGGGAATTTTTATTCTCAACAGCATCACTTTCATTCTAACATGCACGGTGGGTAGAGGCATTTTCAGTGTAAGCCAGCAAATACAACAACAAAAACACACACAAAGTGCAAAGTGTTACAGTTTGTTTCCTTTAACCCCTTCATGACTGAGCTAGTTTTCAGTTTCTGTTCATAAATGACTGACACTTTTTACATTTTTGCTGTGTGATTCTTCCCCGGCAGTAATATACTTTCTTACTAAATGTACCCACACATATTATATATTGTTTTTTAGAGGACAGATGGGGCTTTATAATTATATCAAACGTGTACCTAACGCCTCACTTAGTTCGAATATTTTAAAAATGAGGGGAAAAAAAACTTAAGAAAAAACTTTTTTTCACAAGTTTTGATTATTCATTTTTTTTATAATTATAGTCTAAAAAATATATTTAGATAAAAAAATTTCCTATTTTTACACTTTATTTTTATTTTTTACACTTTGTAAAAGAAAAAAAAAAAAGTATATAAAAAAAGAAATAACTTTTTTGTCAGTTTATAATCAAGCAGTCACTATGACTGCTTGATAAATTAACTTTTTTTAAAATTTTTGGTTATTATTAGGCTGCTCTAAACTTAGGAACAGCTAATAATAACCTCAGAGACCGATCCTGACAGCATATCAGAATCAGATCTCACTAAGGCCCCAGTCACACTGAGCGATAAATCCCGCGATTTCCGCGGCGATATCGTGAGAAGTCGCAGGCCAATGTTATTCAATGGGGCTGTTCTAATGTACAGCTCCATGTCGCTCGTCGGTTCAGCGGGACTCTTTTTTTCCCGCAGATGTCGCGTGATTTTTCTATTTTTGAATGCAGCCCGGCGGTGAAGGTCGCGGGAACGTCGCCCCGAACAGTCGCGCTATCCCACCGCGCGGAAATCCGCTCGAGGTGAGTGTTGCTCAGTGTGAATGGGGCCTTAAGGTCTTTGATCTGCCCAGAGGATCAGAAGTGACACATTTCAGGCACAGAAATACATTGCATCTCTGTGCCTGAAATGTATCAAACATTGGGCTAGCCAGCTGTCAAAACGAATAGCAGAGAGGTGACTCACTCTGCTACCTCTCTGCTATCTTCAGCTGTCAAATACGGGATCGCTATTTAGCGCTCCTGTATTTGTATGTAACGGCTTCATTCCTTCATTAAAAAAAGAAAGAAAGAAGCTTTTACAAAAGCTTAACTATTTCATTGATGAATGCCTCAACACTGAGGCATTCATTAATGAATGGTAACCGTTGAGAATCAGTGGTTACCGGCATTGCAGAGCCTTAAAAGGAGAACTATCCACTCACCTCATAGTTCTAAGCCGACCTGTGACAATGAGACTGTCACAGGTCGGCTCAGTAGATCGGGAGGTGAGGGAACACATACCGGGTTCCCTCACCTCTCAATCCTGTCACGGCACTCTGCTGTGACAGGGGGAGGGGCTGGATTCCCCTCTCCCCGCTCCGATCTGCCAGCGCTGACTGGCAAAACGGACGGGGGAGAGGGCGGGTACAGCTGGCTCTGCCTCTAGGTAGGCAGAGCCAGCTGTCACTCAGGCAGCTGGGCGGATCCCGTCATCTACGTTGGGATCCGCTCCAGGTGCAGCGTCTCAGTATACCGCGAGCTGTAGCTCGCGGTATACTGAGCTTAGGGTAACGGGAGGACGCTAGTTTGTGTCCTCCCGTTACCCTAAGGAGAACTATGGGGAAAAACACTGACCCCATAGTTCTCCTTTAAATAACTCGTCACGTAGTGAATGTGGCCAGTCATATAGGCACTTTGTGGCGGGACGTACAGTATATGTCTCCCGTTAGGAAGGGGTTAAAAACTAGCCACAGCCCAAGTTGAAAAGTCTGTCCAGTGCCAGAATGTTGCTCTGTGGAGAAGCAGTGGTCTCCCTACAGAAGTCCAACAGGTCACCTGCCTAGTCAGACCCATAGCTCTGCAGTCAGCAAAGCAAATTATTTCTGCTGATTGGAAAGCTCTAGCTCTGACTGAGCAGGGGACGTGTCAGATCTCTACACTTTGTTTGCCTGAAGAAGGGACCTACACGATTCCGAAACGTTGCTATATGATGTGACAATTCTTTTATCAATAAAGAACATTGACTGAAATTCTTATTGGAGTGCAAGTTACTTTTCTACCACGTGATACTGATCTGCAGAGGCATCTGCTGTCATCTCAGCACCCACCCATTATCTTGGGTAATACCCGCTCAGGAGTGCGATGGGATCTACTTGGATCTCTACAGAGAGACCACTGTTTCCACACAGAGAGCAAGGGTTCTTCTCTACAGCTTGCTGGCCAGGGACAGGCTTTTATATTCAGGCTGTGGCAGCTTCCTAAAGAAAACAAACCAATACTTTGCACACTTTTTCTGATGCTCCTAGAATGTATTAAGCCAATTTTAACTGAATGTTCAATTGGGCTTTAAGTGGGAGAAAAATGAATATCTGTGATACAGTAATACTATAAATTGAACTTGTCAGGACAGAAATATGGGAGCAGCTACTGTCTCAAACAGTGCACCTTTCAAAATAATTCAGCAATGTCAGCTCTCATAAGAACATGCAATTCCAGACAGCAAGAAGAAAAAAATATTACCTTTCCCCGGGAAGTCACACGTCGCCGGTCAATCAGATTGAGATGATTGGATGCTGTGGAGTTCCAAGGATTATGCTGGGCTAGTCGCTGTGAGTTGAGAAGATCATTGGGGACACTCATGGGGTGCTGTTCACTATGAGCCATGTTGTCAGGATGTTCTAGCATAGCCTGGTGTGAATTTGAGCTCTCTTGGGCATAAGCTGCGTCATCAAAGTGTGGCAGTAAATCTTCCTGTAGCAAATCCACTGGATCAAGTCCTGTGAATGGTTCTGTTTGTGCATTTACTTGCTGCAACAGGTTGTCTTCCAAAGGTGAAAAGCCATTACTCTCCATATGATCATTAAAGTGACTCAACCGTACAGAAGAACCATCTTGGGATGGAAAGCTGATGGTCATTGGAGACATCTTTGTTCCATTGTAGTTACCCTGAGAATGTGAAGAATGCACCATATGGAAATCGTTCGAATGCAATTGTTCACTAGGGTTGAGGACATGTTGACTAGGTTCCTGCTTGGTTCCTAATTCTGGAAATCCTGGGCTTTCAGTAAAATCAGACAAAGAATGAGTGCCGTGATTAAGGTGGTTGTTAGAGAAAGAATAATGAGCTGAAAACGGTGGTGTAGCATTCACGGAACATGGCGCTGTAGAGTGACTATCAAATGTACTCTCATGTTGTGTCCCAATTGGGTTGCTACAAAAGTGCAATGATGCCGCTGATTGAGAAAACTGTTCTAAAGGTAAAGAATCTTGTATGTTTGTATGATTTACCATTGGTGTTTGCTGGGCATTTGAAGTCCTATGTGGCAAAGAAACATTAATATCTATGAAGTTTTTTTGTTGAGTCATGGTCTCCTGGCAGGCATTAATACTGTGCCTATTGTGCTGTGGCTGCGGTGCTGAGACCCGCTGCTGTTCACTGGCCTGAAACAAGGCAAAATCATGGTGTGTTACATATCCTTTGCTTTGCTGCATAGTCTGAGAGTGTCCGTGTTGGTGGAATGGGGAGCCATTTTGACTTGGAATACTTGTGGCAGTTTGGTGGCCCCACATAGGGCTTCCATCATCAGAAAAGATACCATTCCCTTGACTTGGTGGATGTATTGGAGAGCAGCTGAACTGCGATCGTGGAGACAGGACACTCTCAACCGGGCTACTGTAAGACTGGCTTACCGGATGTAACTTCATAGACTCAAACTGGCTGAGTGTATCAAACTCACTGATTTTTTGGTGTGTTTGAGAATCCTGCACATGATTTAAAGAATCAACATGGAGCGGCTCAAACTCTGCTCCAAGGTTTAATTCGTCAACCAAGGATACTGCATCATGCTGAGAAAATGCGTCATCAGATAGGCCCAATGTTTCATCAAACAGGTGCGTGTCATCGAAAAAATCCATCATCGGATCAGTCATATTGATAGACTTAGATTCTGTAAGCACTTTAATGAAAATACTTCACGTCACGACCCAAGCCATGGTGGTGTGGTTCCTCCAAATAGGATATTAAACATGGTTACATATTGAAATCTCCTGAAAAAAATGGAAAATAAATTATCAGTATGTACATGGCTGTGAATTCCTATCTAGGAAACGGGGGGGAAAAAAAAAAACAACAACATTTACACTTGGTAAGGTCTCTCATCTACAAAAAAATCTCTACATTAAAGATAAACTCCAGGCACACAAATGTTCATTTAAATATATGCCTTAATAACCACAAAGGGATATAAATCCACTGTGTGCAGTAAACGCCTTTGCAAAATCTGCCGATACCTTGTACATGAAGCACTGATATCATCACTGTGCTGCACATGGCGCCCAGCAGGTACACCAACTACAGGCTGCCTGCAGAAGAGTACAGGAGTACAAGACCAGTCACCCTGCACAAGGAGAGAGAGTAGCAGTGACCTGTCTTTATCACAGAGAGCTCCCGAACAAATTCCAGGCGTTGTTTCAAGCTTGAGGAAATACACAAAGCACACCAAGATTCAAATAACATAGTACACTGGTCTTGTATTTAGACAACGTAAAGATAATTTATTAAAACTGGAGTAGACAGAATCCAGAGCATATTACCTAGGGATGCACCGATACCAGTATCGGTGCAGATACCAAGTATTTGGGTGAGTACTTGTACTCCCCCAAATGCTCAGATAATTTCCTTCAAAACCAAAACTTCCAGTCAGAGGGAGATCTCCCACTGACCGGAAGTGCCGAGGAAGCACGGAGCTGGCTTCCTTTCCAATCAGTGGCAGTTTATGACCCACCTCCTAGCTTCCCGATTGGCTAAGAAACCAGCTTCACTTGTTGCTAGGCAGTTTGGCAATCAGGAAGCTGGGCGGCGGGTCATGATCCACCACACGGCTTCCCGATAATCAGGGTACACAGTATCGGGGAGTACCAAAAAAATTATATATATTATATATATATATATATATA